ACAGGAGTGAGGGAGGGAGGAGGTCACACCCCAGCACAAGGCTTAGGAAAACAGCAATGAGATTTTTTAGAATCACTAATCGAATGTCATCATTCCACTGCTTAAACCTTCCAGTGATTGCCTGTGCCATGTGCCCTGGCCAGTTCTTCACCCCACCTTGCGTCACCTTCCTCTCCTCCCAATGGTCTAGCTACTGCCGATTCCTCACAGTTCCTCTTGAACACTCTAAAAGTCTTTCCCTACCCCAGGCCCTTTGCATATGCTGCTCTATCTGGCAGGAAAGCTCTGACTGCCTTGGGCTTCGGTACCAGCCCCTACCCCGATCTTCTCAAAGTCTTTACTTAAGTATCAACTCCAGGGAAGGACCATCTCTGCCCACCTTATCTAAATTATCCCCACCATCCTAGTATCCTCTATTTTAACATCCTGTTTCGTTTCCTTTAGGCTTCTTATCAGAATTCATAGTTATCTTGTTTATTTGGTAATTCACTTGTTTATTGTCTGTCTCTCCCTCAAGTTGAAAGACTCCAGGAGGGTAGGGACCACCTCTGTCTCTCTCACTTGCCATTATTGCCAGCCCCAGACATTCAGGAAGCTCTCAGTAAGTGTCAGCTGTTATTTCTACTATTTTATTACTGCCGTGGTGGTTGTTACTGTAGGCGCGCAATAAATATCGCCTGAACGTTGAATGAATATCAAGATTCACTCTAGGCCCCACTAGCTGGGGGGTTGTGACACCAGACGTGCTGCAGGCCCTGGGCGGCAGGAAAGACCTCCCTGCTCACTTCTGCCCCTGGTCCTTTCTGGGGGCCATCTCTGCAGGGCATGCCAACCCCCGGCCCAGGACCACTCGGGCTCCATCCTACCTCTTGCAGGCTCGCCCAGCTGCTGGAGTCATCCCGGTGTTTCCCCAGCACACATACTATCATCTCTTCACTGTGAACTGTATTTAAAATGTAAATAAAAAAAGGCTTTTAGGAGATTTAACTGTTTCCCTTGGTATTTAAATTATTCAATTATAACTAAAGCTATTAAAATACAGTTAATTAAAATTGTTAGATTGTTTTCCTTTGCACTGATCACAGCGTTGCCCGACTTCTCCCTCTAGCTGTTGAATTCCTATTAAAAATGATAATGCCTCGCTTTATTCATAAATGCAGCAACCTTCCCGCACATTCTTCAAGTGATCTCCTCGGTACAAACCGCTCTGTTTTCTTTTCTTCTAGCAGCGAAGCGGAAATTCTGCTGTCGTCTTTAGAGGTTTAATCAACAGTAAAAGGACTCAAAATTTAAACACTAGCATTACCGAGTCACAACAAATAATACAAACCCCTGTAAAAACCGTCTAGTTCTGATGCAACGTAATGTCATTGGAGACCAAAGAAGAACCCGGAGGTTTAATAAAAGGTGGGACCTAAATAAAGGTTTCATAACTCGCAACGTAAAATTACCAGATCCACACGTTAAATATTTTATTTGAAAGGTTTCACGGCATTTCTAGTGGGAATAGATCTGTCATGGAAGTACGGATGGGTTAGTGCTGCCAGAACAAGAAAAAGAAAAAATGAAGGAAGGAGGAAGGAAGGCTTCTAGGACCAGCTCACATCTCGAGTTTGGCGTGTTTAAGGTGATGCACCCCGAGAAACTAATTGGTTTTAGTGTTTAAACTCCTGGGCTATGTGTTCACACGAGGATAATGGCTGTTCCAGGTAAGGGTGGGCAAGGTGGCAAAGGCACTTAACTTTTCAGAATGTGGCAGGTGCCACTTCTGGCATTTGGAGTGATTTGTGAGCCACGTGAGGTGGTGGCAGTGACAAGTCCTAGTTCCCACATGCACGAGGGGAAGGTGTAGCACAGAGATGCACTGGATTCCGCTGGGGACTAGCTGACTAGGAACCTTCCGTGCTAAGATGGGGGCTGTGCAACAGCATCCTACCCTTCAGGAGCTCACAGCCCCCCGAAGCCCCCGTAAACTGCGTACGGATGCAAGTTCAGACAGAGCTGACCCTGATAAAGGCTTCCTGTGAGGGTGAGGAGGGCGACAAGGGAGGCTTGGTGTTGCGGCTGGCTGAGAAAGTCTCCATCGTCCAAGAGAGGGAGAGCACATGGGAAGATTAAGGCGGGGAGGCGGGAAGGAGCTGGCAAGTCTGGGACACTGGGACGTTTGTAAGATCTGGAACACGGGCTTGGGTGGGTGTGGAAGGATGGGGTGGGAGAAACTAAATTTAGGAACTTGATCAAGAAGGGCCTCAAAGATCATCCGTAAAGAGTTTTGGCATTTTGTCAACTACTCCGAAAGCTGCCAACAACCGGAGCCCATCAAAGACTAATACTGGTCACAGAACTGAACACTGGGGAGGAACTTCGATTGTTAAGCAAACAAATCAAGTCTGAGGGTTAGGACCTGATGCATCCTACGTACTGAAGACCTATGGAAAAGCTCCAGGATTGGCTGCTGAGCGAGTGGATACCCTGTCCGAAGGGTTGTCTCTGCCAGTCGGAGCCACGGGGCCCATACCTTGGTCTGCAAGTGCCCTGGGCCCTCACGTGGCCCTCCAGTCTTCATCCTGGGCCCATCCACTTGCGCGTTCTCTGTTGGGGACTTGAGTGTTCACCTCTAAGCTGCAGGGTCAGTCCCTGAGCTTCCCAGGCTCACTGCATATGCCTCTTCACCCAGAAGTGCACAGCGCCCCAGAGAAGCAGGAAAGGGAACGGCAGGGTGATAACATCAACACTGCTGGTCATTAGGAAAATGCCAGTGAAAAGCACAATGAGACATCACTGCAAGTCCATTGGAAGGGCTCTAATGAAAAAGACTGGAAATGCCAAGTCAGTCCATGGAGAAACTGGAACCCTCTCACACTTCTGGGGGTAGAGCCACTTTGGGAAGTTTCTTAAACAGTTAACACATACCTACCATATGATCTAGGCATTCTGCTGAAATGAAAGCAACGTCCACACAAAGACCTGTACGCAAATCATGGAAGCTTGATTCATGACTGCCAAAAACTGGAAACAACCCGAGCGTCCATCAACATCGGAATGTATAAACCAACTGTAGTATATTCATCAGATGAAATACTACTCAGCCCTAAAAAGGAATGAACTATCAGTGCATGCTATAACATGGATGAATCTCAAAGCAAATATGAGTGAGAGAAGCCAGGCAAAAAAGAGTACATACTACTACTACTATTTATATAAAATTCTAGGAAATGCAAACCAACCTATAGTAAACTGTTCCCTGGGGCTGGGCTGGGGCTGAGAAGGGCTGGTAGGGAATTGTGACAAAGGAACAGGAGGGGGCTTTTCAGGGTGATGGGTATGTTCATTTTCTTGGTGGTGGTGATGGCGTCATGGGTGTATACATATGTCAAGCTTATCACCGCATTTAAATGCAGGCAATTCATCATATGGAAAGTATACCTCAATAGAGCAGCTTTAACAAAATTTAAAAGGCCAGGACTTTGGAGTTTTCTGTTTTACAGTTTTAATTTTGACATGAACAGTCAAGGATCCCCTGCACATCCTTCACCAGGTTCTCCAGTTGCCACATTTGTCTCAGTCACTTTATTATTCTCTCTCTCTCTCTCCCTCCCCACCCCACCCCCATCTATTTAAGATGGGGACACTGGGGACACTGTTCCCTATTATTCTTAAACACTAAGTGTGTATTTCTTAGGAACAAAAACTTCTCCTACATTTCCATAGTATAGGTATGAAAATCAGGAATTTAACATCCATACAAAACTATTTTCTGATCTGGATTCCATATTCAGATGTCACCAGTTGTCCCCATAACATCCTTTATAGCTATTTTTCCTGCCCCGCAGGATCCTCTCCATACTACGTTTGGCCGCCGCGTGTCTAGCCCCCTCTGACTGAGCTCAAATCCTGACTCCATCACTTACGTATCCTGTGACCTTGGGCGTTCACACCTGTGGTCTCTGAGCTGTACAACTCAACCCCGACGCCTACTCCTGGGGCCTGAGGGAGAGAGAATGAGAGGACTTCTGGACGGTGTCTTCACCACAGGGCTGCACACAGGAAGCATTCAGGGAGTAGGATTATAGTAAAACAGCCCAACGCACTAGAGCCATCGTCGCAGACCCTCTGCAAACACCCAGGGCATACAGGCTGACCCCCAGCTGGGCCAGGGCCCTGGCAGCCCTCTCCTCCTGCCCAGCCTCTCCCTGCCCACCCCTTCCATCACCAGCTGCTGTCACACCGACCCAGAGCACTGAACTCTCCTGAGCAGTGCATCCTCCAGTGAGGGAGGCAAGCGGGTTGCAGTGTTGACTTTTCAAAAGCTTCTGTTGATGACACTTTCCTTCTGACATCTGAAAAAAGTGCCTCTTCCCTTTCCTCTCCCTACTGCATATTATTCAGTTCTATAGGAAGTTCAGTCTCAGCAGTGAAGGTGCCACCAACCTATCTCCAGTCATCTGTCCTGCCCTCCTGGAGCCTCCCTACGCAGATGGGAACACATGGCCGGCCTCCCTAGCCGCAGCTGAAGGAGCAGGGCAGAGGGCCGCTGCCTGTGAGGTGGCCTGGGGTGAAAGCTTTGCCCTTTGGAGATCATGTGGTGAGCTAAGCCACCAGATCACCTCTCTTGGATACTTTGAATGTAGTGAGAGAGTTGGCTGGTCGGTATACGTAAAACTTGGAAAGACCAACAAGCAGACGGACGCAGCTCAGGCTGCAGAGAGCCTCCAGCAAAGCAAAGCCCCCACGTGTGGGCCTGAGATGGAGGTACACAGAGGAGGGGGAATTGGTGGGCTGGTGGCAGCTGGAAGTCAGAGCAGAGAGACCGAGGGGCTGAGAGCTGCCAGGGTGAGAAGGAGAGTGGGGAACCCACACATGACGGTAAGGACCAAGGGCCCCCTGACCTGTTGGTCCCTTACGGCCTTGGTGGGCTTCCCCTGTATTCTTACACTGTACAATTGTATTCACTTCCTAGGGCTGCCTAGGTAACAAATGACAACAGTCGGGTGGCTTGTAGTAAGAGAACTTTATTCTCTGACAGTTCTAGAGGCCAGAAGTGTCAGCAGGATTGGTTCCTTCTGGAAGCTCTGAGAGAAAATCCATTCTAGGTCCCTCTCCTAGCTTCTGTGATTGTCAGCAATCCCTGGCATCCTTTGGCTTATGGACCCTCACTCTAACCTCTGTCTTTGTCTTCACGGGAATCTTCACAAGGCCTTCTCTCATGTGTCTGTACGTCTTCTCCTTTCTGTCTCTGGTAAGGACACTTGCCATTGGATTGAGGGTCCACCCTCCTCCAGGATAAGCTCGTCTCAAGATTCTTACAATAATTACGTCTGCCAAGATCCTTATTCCAAGTAATGTCCCAGCTTGTGGGAATATAGATTCTGGTCTTCACTATGGCTCCCTGGATCCTTACTGTAAAACTTGAAACCTTTGAGAACCTCATTTTTTGGAAGAATGGTGAATCTCCTGGGAAGGAAGAGTCACGGGTTTTTCCATGAATCAAAGTGTCTCCGGTGATCTGTGAGCCTCATTCTTCCAGGCCTTGGCTTGCCAATGGCCCTGCTGGTCCAAGGCTCTTGGGCAGCTGGTGGAGAAAACATGAGGAAGGAAGTGAGGGTTTTGCAGAGGAAAGACAGGTGTAGCCCTAGAAACAGAGATGGTTAGTCCTCTGTAGATGGTGCGGAGATGCCAGAGCAGGCAGAGGGGCAGGGAGGGGTAATGACAGGAGAGGGACACCAACTGGGCTGCTTCCCAGACAAGTGGCATTCGACCCATCTGACCACTCTGAGCCTCAGTGTTCTCACCTGTAAACTCGATTTCTCCAGTGCCACTTGAGTCCCTACAAGGTGCCAGAACCACGCTGGGTGGAGGGCATAAGGCAGTGAGGGGGCATGACTCGTAGGCCTGACGAGCTCCCAACGTGGTGGAGGAGGCTGGTGCAGGAAGGACCCAGGGGACCATCAGGTGGTGAGAAATACAACAGCCTTCGGTATAAGCCTTCTGGTAACACTGGCAGCCAGGTGGGCAGGGGACCCCTGAAGTGGGTGATGCTGAGCTGGTGTTAAAGAAGCATAAGAGCTGGTCAGCAGGATGAGAGAGGCCAGAGGTCCAGCCTGAGCTCATGACCCAAGCAGCGGCACGGCCCCTGGAAGAACTTGGTGTATTCAGAAATCACAGCATCACCTCCAAAGACTGGACGGTGGGGTTATGGTGGAAACTCCAAGGAAAGGGGCTTGTAGAGAGAGGTAGCAGTCCTTGAATGCACGGGAGTTGAGACTTTAGTCTATAGCTTGTGGGGCTGTTGGAGGCTATGACACCAACCGCAGGATGAAAAAATTTGCGGTACAAAAAGATCACTCAGACAGCAAGAGCGGACGAGAGGGCACGGGCTGGGAGCACGAGACCATGAGAGGCTATTGCAATATCCCCAAGAGATATACAAAGGGCAGTGGCGGAGCAACGGAGAAGAAGGAACGGACGCGAGAGGCATTTGAGGGGCCGCACGCGCGGGGCTTGGTGACCTCACATCAGCCTGCTTCTCGAGCCTGTCTGCAGGTCACGGGAGATAATGGATGCAACACACTCTGAAAACTGCAGAGCACATCGTCAGGGTGCTGCAGCGGGTTTCTGCTGGATGCTGTTCAGGCTTTCATGAAGTGAAGCCTTTCTCCTCCTCCCTGGCTCATCTCTGATGATGCTTTCTTTTGCCTGTAAGCAAGGGGGAGGGGGGCGGGGGAAAAACAGAGACATTAAGTGCCAAAGCTTATGTTAATATAGCATTAAGGTTGAAAATGTAATCTCCTAGGAGTCAGGAAATTCTGAACCCGGGGTTTCCATGGTAACCCAGCCACACTACTCCTCTGTCCATTCGGGCCCTGTTTTCCTTGTTAAATATGATCCCGTCGTATATTATATTTTATCGAGCTAAATGTGTTACCCACAGCATGCAGAGCCCCAGTCAGCAGCAGCGCGGAGCTGCAGGAAATGTGGTGTGTGTGTGTGTGTGTGTGTGTGTGTGAGAGAGAGAGAGAGAGTGTGTGTGGTGTGTGTGTGGCAGGGGTGGACCTTCCGAATTCACCTGATATAACACAGCCACATCTTAGGTCCTTGTATCTAATAAATGGAATGTAATTCTATTAAGAGCAGCTCCTGTGAAAATAAATTGAGCAACAGTGCTGCAGCCCTGTGCTCTGAGGGGGGTCTATCAGGGTGCCCACTCCTCCTGGAGGGACCCAGCCGGGGTCTCACAGCCTTTTCTCAGCACCCTCTCAGCCCCAGGAGCAGGGGCCACACTCCACCCCGGGATCCCTCCTGGATTGAGTTCTGAGGAGGTGGATTGGAATTACCTGGTCCAGTGGTTCTTCACCCGCGCCAGCCAACTGAAGCTCATCTGTCACTGTTCGTTAGCATCCCAGGGTGCACCAGGCTCCGCAAACAGATGCAGAAAGGAAATTCGATTCTCCTCCGAACCCTCTCTCCCACTAAGGCAGCACAATGGACAAAAGCCTTCCTTGGTGGCAGCAGAGATATTAGGAAGGAGGAGGGAAATGGCTTGTCAGGGAGGACAGCTCAGTGGTGGAATGTGTGACAGAGAAACATCTGTAGGTTAATGTGGTGGAAAGACCATGGAATGTTAGAATCAGGCTGCCCGGGACTCGGCTATCTCCCAGCCATGTGGTCTTCAGCAAGTCTCTTTATTTCCCTTTGTCTTAGTTTTTTCATCTGCAAAACTGGGATAAAATTACCATTAACCTCACACAGGCTTGTTGAAGGATTAAATGGGATAATGGATGCAAAAGCTCACTGTAAACGTCTAAATCCCTACACAAATGTTACTCTCACAGGGAGCTCTAGAAAACCATGCTGGATTCTAGACTTATGGGTTCCAGAATTAAAGGATAGATCTAGAAGAGAAGTTGGCAAATTTTTTTCCATAAGGGCTCAGATGGTAAATATTTTAGGCTTTGAGGGCCATGCTGTGACTAGTCAACTCTGCCATTGTTGCTCAAAAGCAGCCAGTGATAATACATAAATGAATGACCGTGGCTGTGTGCCAATAAAACTTTATTAACAAAAACAGGAAGTAAGCTGGAATTGGCCTATAAGCTGTGGTTTGCCAGCCCCTGGCCTAATACTGCCTTTGTAGAAAGCTGTTTTCTTTTTTTGAATGCTGCTTTTCTGCTCAGAATTTAAATCTGCTTCCTCTCCATCCTCCACCCCTTGCCCTGCCCACCTCCCACCCACTCAAACACATACCTACTTCTTTATCTGGACAACTTGTAAATCTTCTAGAGTCAGTAGAGTCCCCTCCTCCAAAAGCAAATAGCAATAATCCCTTGGCCTTTGTCTGCTTCCCTCATAGCCTATGAGATCCTTAGGGCAGCCAGCTCTGTCACCCCAGGCCCTAGGTCCTGGTAGAAGTTCAGTGGATCTTTGCAGAATGGATATAAGGAAAAACACAGCATCCAAGGGAACTGGGACATTGCCGTTCTCTCACGAGGTCTGTGAACTGGGGTCATTTCAGAACTCTTAGGTCTGGAGTCTTTCATCAGGAGCTGCTCCATCAGAGCTTCTAGAATAATCAGAAGGCAGAGTCACCTTTGCAGACCCAGGTCAACATACGCGCCTACCTCATGAGCCAAGGGGCTAACGTTCTCTCTTTGGAGGCATGCTGGAGCCCTGGGAAGCAGGCCGGATGAGCAGGAGGGGGTCAGTGCGGAGGGTCTGGCTCTGAGGTCGTGACAGTGTAGTAGCTACTCACTCTGCCCTCAGGGAGCCTCTGCCTCCACTAGCCTGGACAAGTGACATGACATGTGGAAGCTTCCAGAAGTGCAGCAGCCCTTTCAGAGTTCACATTTGCAAGCCTTCCTCCTCCTCCCCCTCCTGGGCAGAGCACACAGGCAGAATGGAGTTGTGTAACTCACCTCTGAGTCACACTTCCCCCTGCACAGTATTTGCTTTCTGCCTGACAAAGCCCAGTTTCCCCAGGACAGCCAGACAGGCTACTATTGTTCCAAAGTCAGGGCCCGGTGATGGGCTCTTCTGCCCCCAATACACCAGCTAAGACATCATTTTTCATTGCCACGTTGGGGGAGTAGACATGTGGGTGGGTGAGCATACAGGGTGGGAGTTCACGGGTACATGCAATGTTCATGCATGCGTTCACACATGGCATCCATGTGTCCTCAACAGTTTTGTGTGCTGCATAGGTGTGTGACCGGGGCCCATGTGCCCACGTGTGAGTATTCAGGCATATGCTTTCTTGTATATGCGAGGCTGTGTTGTTCCGACACGTGCCTGGGAATGTCTGCTGGTCGGGCATGTGCGTTTGTCTGGCTCTGTGCATGTCTTTAATTTAGGCCTCTGCTTCTCCTGGAAGAAACGATCAGTTCCGTCCTCTGGCCTCAGCAGATGAATATTTTATTACCTTGCTTTTGCCATGGCATTAGGCAGTTTTCCTATGAAAAGCCAGAGCGTGACACACTTCAGGGAGGTGGAGATGTGGGCTCTGATATTGGAGCACCAGCAAGGAAATCACCCCCTCCTCCTGAAACGAAGCCCCAGAGGGCTCACAGACGCTGCCTGCTAGTGTCATTACGAACTGATGACTCAGCCAATTTTCCCCGGTCCCTCGATGGCGTTCTCTCTAAATACAAAGCCGGCACACCCATTTCACAGGAGGCGTGGGAGAACCCCCTCCTGCCCCTCCTGAAGCTAGCCTAAAGCAGTTTCATTTTTTCCCACCTACCTGGTCCTCCTGTGGAGGAAGTTGCTTATGTCCTGGGAGCCGAAGGTCACTGTATGATCCAGACGGCCAGCAGAAGGTCCTGACTTCTCCCACACCTTGGCATGGGGGTGAGGCAGCCACGTTGAGGAAAAGCCAGGCGACACTGGAGCCAGGAGGCCATGGAGACAGCATCTCCCAGCCACAGGGCCCTCCCAGCCCCCAGCCACGGAGTGACCCAGCCACACATTTCTCTGTAGCTGGGCTGCCAGGAGCAGTCCCTAAGACTAGGATTTGGGTGCAAGTAGTTTATCTGGGAAGTGACCCCAACCTAGGAGCACGGTGGGAACACAGGGAACAAGAGAGTAAATACAGACAAGCAAATTAAGCACGTATTAATGAAGAGGTATCTAGCTCATTCCCCCGGGGGCCGTCTGTGAGGCCGAGGGACTGAGGCGTATGCCCACCAACTCTTACCTCACCAGTCCAGGCTTGGCTGCCCCATAGGCAAAACTAGCACCCTCTGCTAGGCCAGGGGCGTAGGACTCTGCTGTTCCCCGGAGGGGCAAGTAGCCTCGCCCACATCTCTAGGTGGCAGGTGCTAACCCAGGCCCCCGGACCTCTCTCGGTTGCCCTCTGCGTCCTCCCTGGTCCTCGGATGGTGGTGGAAGCTCTCTAGGCTGCCCTCTCCAGAAGGGAGCAGGGATTCCCCGCTGGGCATGTGTGGGGTGGGGAATGCTCGGCCCCCGTTGGCTGTGAGTACCCCGTGGAAGCTCTTGGAGCCAGACATTCTGGAGCTCCTACTTTGTGTCAGGCCTTGTGCTTAGCACACATTATTTTATGTAATCTCCACAGCAATGCGATAAATTAGGTACAACTACCTGTGTTATACAGAGAAAGAAATTGAGGTTCTGAGATGCCCTCTCACCTCAGGTCACTCTGCCCAGAAGGGACAGAGATTTGTCTGGGCCGGTGCCCGTGGAGTGGGTCTTAACACATTTGCATCTACTTCCTACTGGTCTGTGAGCTCCTGGAGGGCAGGGCCTGACCCATTCCCTCCAAGCTCCTCCAGAGCCTGGAGCCTTGTCCACTGTGGGTGGTTATTAACTGGAGGCCCTTTCATCTCTTCGATTATCTATCTACCCAATCAGGAGTTACTGTGCCTTGGCCAACATCCAGTGGAAGGGCCTGTGAGCAGCTCCAGCCTCGGGCTTCAAGCCAGCCGCAATGGCCTTCCACACCACTCCAACCAAAGAGCTGAGTGTGGGTCTGCCCCGGTGGAAACAGGCAGGCAGTAGCGTCACATGGACTTGCGTTTAAAATTCACTCCCGCATGACCCAGCTGTGTGGTCCTAAGCAGGTTGCCTAGCGTCTCTGCACCTCTGTGTGCTCCAGTGGCGGATTCGGCCTCCCACACAGCATGCTATGAGGCTGGAATTCGAGAGAAGCATGTCAGACCCCTAGGTTGACTTTCAGGAAGCTCTTAGAGCTTATGGGTTCCACCCCGACCAGAATGTGAGCTTTCTCAGGGCAAGGAAAGGGGTTTATTTGTCTCTGTCGTGGCCACACCCATCCCAGGACCTAGCCCTGCATGGACGCGTGGGAAGTGGCAGTGCCGTTGAGCTGTCCTCAGTTCAATGGTGTTTATAAGGACTTGCCCTAACGCACAGGCTTCAACCAGAGGACGGACAGCTGAGTGTTTTGCAGCCAGGACTCCAGCCTGTGTGTGCAGCTCTTTGAAAGCACAGTGCTTCCCTTCTTCCCGTTTGTTTTTCTTTGGCCGCCCTCCTCCGTTCCACACCTGCAGTCAAAGGCTGCCAGGGCCAAGTCCCCAGCCTGCGCTGAGTGAGAGCTCAGGGCAGGGGGAAGAGCTGGAGGGCCTGCAGACGTAAGAATGAGGCAGGCCAGCTGTCAGGATGTTAGGCTTGTCTCCAGCTCCCTGGCCACTGCAGGGCCACACCCTGCCACCCAGCCCTGACCTCTCTTGCTAGCCTAGCTCTGCTGGGGTGGTGGTGCCATCTTTCAGCTGCCAGAACCCCGAGCTGGGGCCTCCATGGCAGCCCGTGCCTCCTCCTCCCCTCACATTGCTTTCTTCCTGACCCATCTCCCAAGTGTGTCCAGGGGTGGTCCCTCAGCCACCCTTCACTCCTCTCCTTCCCCGTCCTCTGTTTGGAGATGCTCACCCCTGCTCTAAGTTTTTTTGGTGCCACAATGCTTTTCTCTTTGCCCGTTCCCCTTTGATAAAATCCTTGTTTCTAGCTTCATTCTGTACCTTCATGACTGTGGATGGTGACGCACTGATAAGTCTGGCTCATCCGTGGGCTGTGGAGAAATTCCCACGTGGTACACACCATCCGTACATCAGGACCCATCCTGCCAAGTGATTGCTCCGTGTGCAGCCAGATCTCCGCTTGTTTCCTTGCTGCTTCTCCCAGTGCAGGATGCCTCTTTCTCCTCCACCACATCTGGGTGGATTGGGGAGCCGCTGAGCCCAGTTCTGCCCCGTTCACCCACTCCTCCTACAGCTGGGGGCTCACGTGTCAAGCCTGGCACCGGCGGCAGGCGCCACGGAGGGCAGACGACTAGCTAGGGGATGAAAACCTCTATTCAGGACAATATCAAATCCCTGGCTCCGGACAGAGAGACAGGTTTGCTCCCGGTCCGAGACATCGCCTGCAAAGCGAAAGCCGATACCAAGAGAGGAGCGTCTCGTTAATACGGGCTCTGTTCTTTTCACCTGGCAGGCCAAGCACAGCGGCTCACTTGTGCCTCTGAAATCCTAACTGGCTCCTGGCTGGGAGCTTTGGGAACTGCTTGGGAGACGTTAGGCAGAGTGTGCCAGGTGTACACCCAGCCAAGTCCCAATTCAGCCAGGGCAGGGACTAGAGAGAAAGACCCCTGGACGGCGGACCACACGCGCGCCATGCGGTCACTGTCAGGACGAGGCTGGAGCCACGTGCTCCAACCTCCCCAGTGTCCTTCAATTGCCTTTTCTTCCCCCCAGACTCCTTTCCAAGCGTATGCCATAAGGTGGGTAGAAAGGAATCATACAATATGGGTATGGAGGGCCATGAGTAATTCTTTCACTCTGTTTCTCAACTTTTTAGGGTCAAAGAAACCTCTCATAAACCTTGAATGCCATAGTCACTCTCCCGAGAAAAATGTACACCCCCAAATTGAGCATATAATTACATGGTATTCACAGACCCCCGAAGCCCCCCTTGGCTAGCTCCATGGGGTCCATGTTAAGAATATTTTCCAATGTCTCCTTCAACGGTTGGGAGAACGAAGGCCAAATAGGGCGACCTCACTTTCCCAGGAAAACAGCATGCTGCTGGCAGAGACTTGATCATACTTAAATTTTATTTGGTTAAAAATAAGTATGACAATTCACAGAATGTATTTTTCAAATAAGAAATATCAAACTAAGACAAGCCAGTGGGCTTGCACAGCATCACTAGTTTTTCTTCCATAGATCCCTTCTCTCCTTCCTCCACAGTGGAAGAAGTTTTAGATGGGCACATGGAAGCCTAAAATTCCCAGCGTCCCTTACAATTGTATGGTCTTGCCTCTAAGTTTGGCCAATGGCATGTTATCAGATTTCTAAGTCATATCTTTGAAAAGAACGGGTGCACCCCCTTCCTCCTTTCCCTTATCCCACTGGTTGGAATGCAGATGTGTCAGAGAGAGTTGGAGCAGCCATTCTGGGCCACGTGATCAAGGCTGGGTATTAAAGATGGCAGAGAAACAAGATAGAAGGAGTCTGGGTCTCTGACTATTGTGGAATCACCATAGCAGTCTGGGACTGCCTACCTGGTCTTTTATCTTCTTTCAGCCACTGATTTGAGTTTCTCTGCCATAGCATTAGAATCCAAATTTTAACTTACAATCTAAGAGACCAGAACATCCATAGATCCCACTTCCCACCTCATCCCGGTGGTCCCCAAGTCCCATCAGCAATGAGCATGACTATCTCTCTTTCCTCTTCTTCTCCACCCATTGCCACTACTCTGCTCTAGGCCATCTCCCTCTTGCCCCTGAACCACTCCAGGGATCCCCTGGTTGGTCTCTGCGTTATAGCCGTTCTGCCATCCAGTCCAAAGCACCTTTCCTGAAATGGACACCCAGACCGGACGCTCTACTCTTCAGCCCTTCAATGGCTCCTTGTTCCAGCAGAGTGAACCTCACCCCCCCGCAGTCTGGCCCCTCAGCCTGCCTCACCAGCCCCAACTATTGCCACTTCCTTTACGTACCCTCTGCTCCCAAAACATGGAATTGCTTGCCCTTTTCCAAGCACCCTGCAGCCTCAGAAGCCTTTCCACCATCTCCTGGACAGCCTGGTGTGTTCATCCTTCAAGGCTGACCTCCTTGGCCAGCCCACCCAGCACCCCCTCCTGCGCACCCCCCGCTACCCTGTCCACACCTCCATTACAACCTGTAACCGTGTCATTGTTATTGTCCGTCCCCCGTGCATGACTTTCACTGCCAGAGAACTAGAATGGCTCCCCTAGGTGCCCACCACACAGCGGGGATAGAGGCTCTGCTCAACAAAGCTGTTGAATAGAAATGTATTTGCTGGAATAAGAGCTAGAGCTCAGCTTCCCTGACGCCTCTCTCAGGGCCCAGTCTGCTTTGTGGGGCTCTATCACCCTGGTGAGGAATTTACTCCTTCCTTCCTGCCCTCTTTCCCTCCTGTATTTCCTCTTTCTGTGAGCATAAGCCCAGTGCCCTCGTGATGCTGGTAGAAAGAGCAGAAGAACCGCTGAGTATTTGTAGAATTCATGAACACATGCATTTAGTGAGTGAGTATTTTATTTTACATTTTTGCTGGTCTCTGTGCTGGGCACTGTGAACACAGATGTGGAGAAGGCCCCAACCTGCCCTCCGGGCCTTTCCCAGCCTGAGAGCTCAGAGGAAGCGCCGGCTGTGGAGGACGTGGAGGCATCAGCTCCCCAGCACCTCGTGGGTGGGTCTCTGTAACATTTGCTTTTGCGTGAGAGATGCAACAGGACTCGAGGAACTGGTCTTTCCCGATCCCATGGGCGGACTGGAAGAGGTGAGAGGTGGAGTGATCCGAGCCTTCTGGCAATGTGATGAAGTCATTTGCAGAAAGACAGGTTTGTTCTGACTCGAGTGTTTTTCCACATGACTTCATCCCCCAGCAGGCTATGCTTGGGCCTTAGTTTGCGATGGGCCCCAGCCCCGGCTACCTGGAGAGAATGGCCCCGATCCCTTCCCCGGGCAGCTGTGCCAGGACAAGCTGAGTCGCCTGCTGCCCTGTGAATGGCCCAATCGTGGGCAGCACCCACCATGGCAGGAAGAGGCTACAAGAAGCCTGAACTAAGTACTGCAGGGGCTCCAATAAGTGGGTGCTCAACCCTGTGGTCAGGATGGGGTGAAAACTTCTCAAAAAGGGACTCTTGAGTTGGGTCTTAAAAGATGAGAAGCAGTTTTCAAAACAAAACCAGAGGAAAGGGCATTCCAGGCAGGGGGATAAAAGAGGCTGACTCAGACATCTATTAAGATGCATCCAGGAGCTGGAGGAATCAGGCTCCCGGACTTCAGACTATACTACAAAGCTACAGTAATCAAGAGAGTATGGTACTGGCACAAAAAGAGAAATATAGATCAATGGAACAGGATAGAAAGTCCAGAGATAAACCCACATACATATGGTCACCTTATCTTTGATAAAGGAGGCAGGAATATACAATGGAGAAAAGATAGCCTCTTCAATAAGTGGTGCTGGGAAAACTGGACAGCTACATGTAAAAGAATGAAATTAGAACACTTCCTAACACCATACACAAAAATAAGCTCAAAATGGATTAAAGACCTAAATGTAAGGCCAGACACTATAAAACTCTTAGAGGAAAACATAGGCAGAGCACTCTATGACATAAATCACAGCAAGATCCTTTTTGACCCACCTCCTAGAGAAGTGGAAATAAAAACAAAAATAAACAAATGGGACCTAACGAAACTTAAAAGCTTTTGCACAGCAAAGGAAACCATAAACAAGATGAAAAGACAACCCTCAGAATGGGAGAAAATACTTGCAAATGAAGCAACTGACAAAGGATTAATCTCCAAAATTTGCAAGCAGCTCATGCAGCTCAATAACAAAAAAACAAACAACCCAATCCAAAAATGGGCAGAAGACCTAAATAGACATTTCTCCAAAGAAGATATACAGACTGCCAACAAACACATGAAAGAATGCTCAACATCATTAATCATTAGAGACATGCAAATCAAAACTACAATGAGATATCATCTCACACCGGTCAGAATGGCCATCATCAAAAAATCTAGAAACAATAAATGCTGGAGAGGGTGTGGAGAAAAGGGAACCCTCTTGCACTGTTGGTGGGAATGTAAATTGATACAGCCACTATGGAGAACAGTATGGAGGTTCCTTAAAAAACTAAAAATAGGACTACCATATGACCCAGCAATCCCACTACTGGGCATATACCCTGAGAAAACCATAATTCATAAAGTCATGTACCACAATATTAATTGCAGCTCTATTTACAATAGCCAGGACATGGAAGCAAACTAAGTGTGCATCAACAGATGAATGGATAAAGAAGATGTGGCACATATATACAATGGAATATTACTCAGCCATAAAAAGAAATGAAATTGAGTTATTTGTAGTGAGGTGGATGGACCTAGGGTCTGTCATACAGAGTGAAGTAAGTCAGAAAGAGTAAAACAAATACCGTATGCTAACATATATATGGAATCTAAAAAACCAAAAAACAAAATTGTCATGAGGAACCTAGGGGCAAGACGGGAATAAAGACGCAGACCTACTAGAGAATGGACTTGAGGACACGGGGAGGGGGAGGGGTAAGCTGAGACAAAGTGAGAGAGAGGCATGGACATATATACACTACCAAACATAAGGTAGATAGCTAGTGGGAAGCAGTCGCATAGCACAGGGAGATCAGCTCGGTGCTTTGTGACCAGCTAGAGGGGTGGGTTAGGGAGGGTAGGGGGGAGGCAGATGCAAAAGGGGAGAGATATGGGGCTATATGTATATGTATAACTGATTCACTTTGTTATAAAGCAGAAACTAACACACCATTGTAAAGCAATTATACTCCAATAAAAATGTTAAAAATATTCTAATCACAATAAAAAAAGGAGGCAGTGAAAATTAAATACAAGTAAAAAAAAAAAAGATGCATCCAGTGCAAACCAGGGAGACCCCAAGAGCAGTGGTATCTGCAGAGGGGCATGTCATCGCTACCTAAGAGCAGCATGGTCCCAGGGTTATATGGAGGCCCAACAATGCCCGCAAAGACCCAGACTCACCCACATTTCTGCTCAGCCTTCCTTAGTGTACTGGCTTTTTGTTCATTGTGTGTTATCACATGATAAAAAGATGGCTGCTGAGGCTCCAAACATCACATCCGCTCACAACCATGTTCCAGAGGGGAAGAAGAGGATGGGGAGACTCAAGGGAATGCTTCCACTTCCTGTCCTGAAGCTCTCTGGCATATATCCCTGTCTAAGCCTGTTCGGGCTGCTATAACAAAGTATCATAGACTGGGTGGCTTATAACTACAGAAATTTCTTTCTCACATTTCTGAAGGCTGAAAGTCTGAGATCAGGGTGCCAACACGATCAGGTTCTGATGAGAGCCCTCTTCTGGTTGCAGATGGCCAACTTCTTATTATATCCTCACGTGGTGGAAAGAGGGAGAGAGAGCTCTCTGGGGTCCCTTTTATAAGGACACTTATCCCATTCATGGGGGCTCCACCCTCATGACCTAATCACCTCCCAAAGACCCCCACCTCCTAATACCATCAAGGGTATTAGGTTAGGGTTTCAACATATGAATTTGAGGGGGCCACAAACATTCAGTCCATAGCGATCCCCTATTCTCACTGACTTTGTCATTGGGCTGGTCACCACCACCTGTGAGGAAGACTGGGGAAGTGCCTGGCAAAGGGGATTAAGATAACCATGCTTTGTTTACACTGGGGCTGCTGAGGGACTGGGTACCACAGTGTCTGCCCACCACTCCCACAGCATCAGAGCTTTGCTAGCAGGGAACACAGCTGGTTGGAAGAGAGGAATGGCCGTCAGGTCGGCAACGAGCAGGGCTGTCACATGTGTCACGTGTTGGTAAGCGTGAATTTCCGTGGGGCTCAATGTAGTGAAGATGGCAGGAGAGGAGCTGGCCAGACAAGAATTTGAATAGAAAGATTAGGGTCTGGGGCTTTAAACTAAGAGCAGCCCATCCAAGAGCTCTGGACCTGAGGTTGGTTCGTGTTTTAGAACTAGAACTCTGCCAGCAGCGAGCACTATCTGGGGGGACAGAGATACCCCAAGGATGGTCGTGTCATTGTCACTTTCCATCTGGGCAAGTCTGTGGGTCCCTGAGAGTAGGGGCGGCATTCATGTCACTGTCCTTAGTGCCTTCCACAGCGCTGCTCCTACCGAAAAGGATGGCTGACTGAGTGAATGAATGAATGAGTGAGTGAGTGAAATTCACAGCCTCTCCTAGCATCAGCTCCCTCCTCTGTATCCTGGGATCAATAATAGCAGTTCTTGTCTCGCAGGGCTGCTGGGAGAATCAGATGAGCTGACGGCTGCCACAGTGCTTAACAAACGGGAAGGCAGCGGGCAGAGAGGGGGAGGCAGATAGGGAATGTGGGTCGCCTCGAACCCACACGATGCCAAGCACAGGCCCCCGCCTGCTGGCACCACTCACCGCCTGACCGCATGGAACTGCCTGGAGGGGCCTGAATGGCCGTCCGGGATTTTCAGAAAAGAAAGCAAGGCGACGCCCAGTGGGTCCTGCCAAAGACAGTGATGGGAGAGTGATGAGGATAAACAGCTGTCTGTCTCTGGTAACGCAATTAGGAGCTAAAATATTAAACGCTTTACGGCAGGACATATATCTCCCACGTAAGGAGCTGCCTCTTGCAAAAGCAAGCATTGTCCAGGCGGGAGGCAGGCAGGCAGGCCCACATCTCAGACCCAGCAGCCTCTGAAAAGGGCAACGACCTCACATTCCATCATCATTTGGGGAGCTCCTCTTACTTCCTCATCACCATCATTGCAGTTACCATTTACTGAGTGACTACTGTGTGCGCGGAGCACTGTCAGAGACTAGCCTGTAGGCTGAACCACTTTTTTTTTTCAAGGGAAAAATATGGGGTAAGGGAGATACGCAGAAACCAAACTCAAAGATATTAAGTAACTCACCTACCGTCAGCCACCTCGCGAGAGGCAAAGCTCCTTGGCACGTACTGTCCTTTGCAGGAAGCCAGCACAGAAGCTGGAGATGGAGTGACTTAGTAAGTGGGGAGGATGAGATTTGGCTTGTCCTGGGATGTCCCACAGAGCAGGTGCCCTGCTGTGCCCCTGGTGTCCCAGGTGCTGGGATAGATGGACGTGAGACTGATTTGGATGTGAAACACACAGATTTCCTGGTTGTCTGTGTCTCAGGGAAAGGTCTGTCTCGCCATCTCTTTACTTTGATGGTGAATGACTGATTAATGGGCTTTGAGTTGACACAGATTTGTGGTGAGAATGGTGGAATTTCAGGCATCAGCGAAGAGTCAGGGCACCTCATAGCACTTCTGAGGCAGCCAAACACTTCTGGGCATGTGTTTTCAGAGCCCTGTCTATGTCTAAATCAGGGTCACTGCTGATTCTTGTTGGGGGGTTCAGGAGGAAAATCATGCAGCCCTCACACGAGGTTAGAGGATGTTTGCCAAAGTCCACTTGCATTCATCATCTCATTTTCTTGTCAAAAGAACCTTGTGAGAGAAATGCAATTTCAACCCATTTTATAGATATGGAAACTGATGGCATGTGTGGCCCAAGAGACAGAACGCATGTTTGCTGAGCACTTGCTATGCACTAAGCTTTGGCTGTAACAAACAGAAGGATGGGTGTGTGCAAAGGCCCTGAGGTAGGAAGGACCTGCCATGTTTCTGGAGCTGAGAAGTGGCCAGTGTGTCTGTGGGAAGGTGAGCAAGGCCCCCCTACACTTGCAAGGGCCCCTAGGATGTGCTGTGCCTTCTGGTGGGTATCTGACTTTGGTCTAGAGCCCTCTCCATGCATCCGGAGGACGTGGTCAGCCCCGGCTTTGAGCAGCAGCCCCATCTTGCTGCTAGGAAGCCCCCCTCTCTGCCTGCCCCCCTCATCTGTCAGAATCCCCCAGTGTGCACAGAGCCACAACACTGTGGCCCCGTGCTCCCTGCCGGGTGTGGTCCCTTCACCTCTCCTGGCGCCCCTCCTTGTGTCTGCCTCCATCTCTAACTGGCAGCATTCCTAGAAGCCAGTGGGTGGGTGCTGAGGGGCCAGCCGAGGGAGGGCTGTGCAGGTTTCCACGAGCGTTACATCTGGAGAGGGAGACCGGAATGTTTGTGTCTGAAATTTAGCTAATATCCCAGGAATTTATCCTGGCGTTTCAGAGGGTTCCTAGGGGGACTGCAAAGCTGGGATGTCTGGGTTCTGGGGGCGGGCTGGCCTTGCTCAAAGCCTCTTTGTCTACATGGCTCTGCCTGTGTCGATCTGGCTCTGCATCTGTGTGTCTTTGTGTGTGTATCTTTCTGTTTAGAGTCGATGTGTGCATCTCTGTGCATGCCAGT